TCGGTGTATCGTCATATGAATGGAATGAATTCAGCTGATGAAATTTGTTGTGCAACTGGAATTTCAGCTCAACAACTGGAAGAACTCGTTGATAAGGATCCAAATTTACTTTTGATATGGAAATAAGGACAAATTAACAAAATTTGAAAGGTACATAAAAAAAAATTATTATTATTATTACGCTCTCTTATAGTCTCTAAAGATTTTTTTTTGAATTAGTTTAAATTATTATTCATTTCAAAACAAACACGAGGTGGGAAATTAATATTTGCATTGCAATTCGGATTTCTTTTATTTTTTTTTTTATTTTAATTTGTTTGATTAAATCGTCGTATCTTGGTTCGTAAATAAAAACTTGGCAAACGCGCAACAATCGTACTAATAATAATAATAATAATAATAGCACAAATGTCACACAAACAAACATTAAAATAATTATTCATTTCTATTAACACACAAGAAAACATTATTTATTATCATTCGACTCGTACAATTTTACACGATTAAAATTTTATTGCAGTCAGTCAGTCTCAAATGAACAAAATAATAATAATAATAATGATGATGATAATAATTTAGAAGTTTAAAATAAAATAAAATGATATATATATGTATATTTTTAACAAGTGTAAAAACAAATTGTTATAAAATTTATTATTATTATTTCTTTTTTTTTTTTTTTTTTTTTTTGTATAGTAACAGTAAATTTATTAATAAAAATTTTTTATTTTCCGTTCGATAAAAATTTTTTTTTGTTTTTTTCTCTCTCTCTCTCTCTCTCTCTTTCTAAAATCCTCAAAATAAAAACAATTTGGAAAAAATAAAATTTCCATTATATATACATAAATATATCAAAGACTTAAACTTAAAGGAAGGGAACAATTAATTTTTTTTCTTTTTATTTGTGGGGGGGGTTGGGGGGCGAGGGCGGGAACGGGGAAACATTATAAAAAGACAATTAAAAAACAATTGAATTAATTTATTATTATTATTAATAAAAATTTAAATTTTTTTTATTTATTTTTGGATTTTCAAAAAGCCTGGAAGATTATATAATGATATACATATATATAATTATTTAATTTAAATGGCGAATCTTTACGATAATAATGATAATACTATTTAATATATGTATAAACGGATTCATGCTTAAGGACAATTGAATAATAAACTTTTTTTAAAAATATTATTTATTTCTCTTAATTATTATTATTATTATCATCATTACAATAAAAAAAATCTTTATACACGATAACACTTAAATATATATATAAATCATTAACATATAAAAAAAAATTTAACAAAAATTTATTTATGTATTTTACAATAACGTCATCATCATCATTTTAATTATTACTATCGTTATTATTATTATTATTATTAATCTTTTTTTTTTTTTTTAAATTGATATCGTTATAAAAAAATTTTCAATGACTATAATATATTTTTATATATATATATATAAATTTACAATAAAAAAAATGATTTTCTTTGCACTTATAAAAAAAAAAAAAAAGAAAATAACAACAACAACAACAACAATAACAACAACGAGTCACTTATTATTATCGTTTTGCCTCGATCGATTGATCGATGTATCGATCAATCGATCAATCACTTTTTTTACTTAACGTTATTATTATTATTACATATATATAAATTTGTTTATTGACGTTGAAAGACATATTTCTTTTTCTTCTTCTTCTTCTTCTTCTTTCGCCGTCGCGTCATCTTTTCTTCTTTTTTTTTTCTTTTTCCTTTCGTTAATTATTCATTTTCTATATCCATCTTGGACTCGTTTTCTTTTTTTTTTTGTTTTTTTATTTTCATCACCTCGGGCAAAATTTAAAATTAGGAAAAAGGAAACAGTGAAGGGATAAAAATCTCGTTGGATCGATTTTATAATCGAAACCTTCGATTTTAACCACGTTTAAATCATCTTTTCCGTATCTCGAATAACTAAAAGAGATCTGAAAACATAAAAAAAAAATTATTATTATTATTATTATTATTATTATTATTATTATTATTATTATTATTATTATTACTATTCGGTCGTTGCAATTTCTTTTTCAATGATCTCTTAAGAAGGGGTTTTTTTTTTATAAATTTTTTTTCTCCCTTTTTTCCTTTTTTCACTCTCTCTCTCGAGAGAAAATTCAAAGGATTTTTCCTTCCCCCACCTCACTCCCCCCCGCTACCGTTTAACGGAAGAATTAATTCTCGTTCAATTACTTCCTTTTTTTTCCGTCGGAAAAATGTTTTCGGCATCCTTAATTTAATTATTATTTATCAAAAAGGTTTTAAACTCATTGACGTATGTGAATAAGATTAAAAAAAAAAAAAATTTATACTCTCAAAGGAAATTAATCAAAGGTATAACAAACGACAAGAGGATGAAAATAAAAAAAAAAAAAATTTTATCATCATCATCATCATCGTCGCTTTAATTTTTTTTTTTTTTTTTTTTTTCATTATTATTATTCCGGATAAATTTTCAACAAAAAAAAAAAAATTTTCCAAAAAAAAAAAATTTCTTTTTGATTTTGCGAAAGGAAAAATTAATCTCCGGGGGGAGACGTGAATTTTCTGCAAAACTATAAATAATTGGAAAAAAACGGGAGAGGGGAGGTTAAATTCGAAGGGAGGGGGAAGGTAAGAAAGAAAAAAAAAGATTTAAACTTTTTCTTTTTCAGTCTTCGTTAAAAAAAAGAAAAAGAAAAAAAAATGAAAATGGTGAAAAAGTTCCAAAATCGTAAAAAAAAAAAAAAAAAGAAAAGAAAAAACTTTCCAAAATTTTCCGGATTTAAATTATTATTATTATCGTCAAACCGAGTAAATATCATTATTAAAAATAAATTAAGTAAAAAAAAAAAAAACCCCCCCGTTTCCCCTCTCCCCCTTCCCTCGTTTTTGTCCTCTTATTTTTTTTTTTTTTGGGAGGGTGGGAAATTTCTACAATTTAAAAACGTTTACGCATGCATGCATTAACTTGATTGCATTCAACAACAGCAAAAAAAAAAGAAAAAAAACCGAAATGGAAAAAAAAAGAAAAAATTGTAATCGTTTTTTTTTCTTTCTCTCTCTTTCCAGATTTTATACTTTGTATTCATTGTTGTCGTACCTGATCCTGGAGCGAATTCCTCCTGAGAAATTTCATCGGTTCTAAATGAGAATGGAATTGTTCCACAACCGTCAAGTGCTTCCTTAATAAATGCTCTGGAAAAAATTAATTCATTAACGGTAAGTGATAATTTATTTTTTCTCTCTTACAAAAAGAAAACCTTAATGATTATTGTTTACATTAATCACACACGGTACGAACCTATTATGTAACCCATCGTGACGTCATCCGGCAACCGAATTTTTTCACCTACGCTAATGAATTTCCCACCGCTGAAACAACAAAACAAAAACCAAAATTAAAATAAATCCAATGATTTTAAATAATAATAATAATAATAATAATAATAATCGCGACCAAACGACAAAATCGCTCTCTGCTTAATAAACAAACAAAGGAAAAAAGGTGGGGGGAATGGGGGAAAAAAAAAGAAAACATCAACAATCTTGTTTTATGTTTTCTGACCGAGGCAAACACACGCACACTCACACAATAGGGATTTTGTTTTTAAACAATGGAAAATGCCGCCGTAAAACTCCAAAAAAAAAGGACGGGGGGAAATTAAGTTTCTGGAATCAAAAAGAAAAATCAACGTTATCGAATTTAACATCGCGAATGAACAAAAAAAAAGGTTTTTCCGAAAGAGAAAACAAAACGAAACGAAACTGAAAAAATGCGTAAAATTGCGTTTTGAAAAATATTCAAACAGTAAATCATCATTCCATGCGAAAAATGAAAATGATTTACTGCGTTCGCTCTGTTATAAACATTTCTTTTTAAAAAGAGAGAGAGAGACACAGGGATAGAGGGAGAGAGAGAGAGAGAGAGAGAAACATTTACTTATTACCGAAAAGATTTTCTAAAATCAGTCAAATTAGAAAAAGAAAAAAAAAAGTAAGAGAAAATGAAATTGAATGATGGAAAAAGATGGAAAAATAAATGAAGGAGAGAAAAAGATTGAATGGGTGAGAAAAGGGAGAAAGAGAGAGATGGGACGATGGGCAAAAAATGAAAGAAAGGTGGTAACGGTAGGAAAAAAGAACAGAGAGAGAGAGAGAGAGAGAAAAGGAAATGATAGAGGAAAAATAAGAAATTTAAAAAATTCATTTAAACTTTCGGTTGAATAATAAAAAGATGTACGCTTTTGAGAGAAATTCTCAAGATGAGAGAAAAACCAAGAGAGAAAGAGAGAGAAAAAAAGAGAAAGAAAGGAAAAGAGTGTGAGAGAGAGAAAGAGAGAGATTAACAAGCTAAGTGAAACGCGATGAAAATTCTTTTTTTTTTAAATTTAAAAAAAAAAAAAAAAACGGTGCGTGCGAGAGAATAATGATTAAATTATTTTTTATTATTTTTAATGAAATTTATCTCGTGCCACGATTCATTTATTTATTTATTTTTTCAAATTGACTATTTATCGTGCGAGAAAAATTTACCGGATAAAAAAAAAAAAAAATGAAAAAAAAAAAATTATTTTTCCGTTGGGAAACGCACGCGCTTTTCAGGAAAAGTTTTTAGAGTTTGAGATTGTTAGTTAGGAAAAGCGAAAATAGAAAAAGAGAGAGAAAGAAAGAGGAAGAGAGAGAGAGAGTGAGTGAGAAAGGTTAGCAAAAAAAAAGAACGAAAGAATAATAGTCGTGGCGTTAAAAAAACCCATTATCATCGGGGGTAATTCTCTTTTAATAATTTTCCAATTTTCCATCGAATTTATTGATTTGATTCGTGTGAGGTTAAAAATTTTTTTTTTTTTCGGTTCGGAAACGGAAAATCATTAACCGGAACTGGCAACTTTTCATTTCTATAAAAAAATAAAAAATTTTCCCAAAATTTTCCGTTTTTTTGGTTGGTTTAACCAAAAAAAAAAAATTTTTTTTTTTTTTTAATGACACCCACGATCGTCGTAAAAAAGGAAAAAAATTGTTTTGTCCTAACGCCTTGAAATTTTCCCATAGGCAACCGGAAATTGTTGTTTAAAAAAAACCAAAACGAACCTCCCCCTCCCCCCGAAACGAAAAAGTAAAAATCGCCAAATAATGCACAATGCCCAACGCAGTAAATAAATTTTAATTAAAAAAAAAAAAAAAAACTTTTTTAACTTTTGTAATATAAGGTTTTAAAAGGTTTTTCCCCGCCCCCCAATCTCACCTTTTCTCTCTTTTCTCTTTTTTTTTGGCTAATTTTAAATTTAACCTTTCGTCTCTAACTTACCGCCGGTACGGTTCTAATTAAGATTTATTACTCTCTAAGATTTAACACACCTGGTCTATATAAATATTATCATCATCATTTTTATTATTATTGTTATTGTTGTTGTTGTTGTTCGGTAAAAACACGTGGGTGGCGTGGGGGGTAAAGTTAGGAGAGGGGGGGATAAGGTCGAATAAATTTATTTAACTCGAACGAACGAACGAATGACAAAACTAATGATTAAAACGTCCGAACTCAAACGAACTGGAAAAAAAAAAAAATTTTTTTTCCCCATCGTTCGTGACAAATCCAAATATTATTATTATTATTATTATCATCATCATCATCATCATTTCTTTCTTTTTTAAAAAAAAATATAAACTCACCTGGCTACGGGCATCATTTTTAATGCTAAAGCCCGACTTAAACAAAATCCAGCTCCTCCCGTCGCAAACCAAAATGAGATCTTTCTCTGGAAAAAAAAAAAATAAAAATATATAAATGACGTTAGTTCATTCATTCCATTTTCCATTTTTCATTTTCCATTTTCTTCTTCAAAAAAAAAACAAAAAAAATTTCTCTTTTGACGCGTTTTGCCCCCTTTTTAATCTGGCGACAATCACCGTAAACAAAAAAAAATGAAAAGGTTATATTGAATTATATTGAAAACCACGTTCCCTATCCCCTCCCCATTTACACACCCATTTCTTTCTTCCTTCCTTTCTTTCTTCCATTCTTTCCTTCTTTGTGCCTCCTGTCAGTAAAAATACAAAACAATTCAACGGAACACGCGATGCAGTAGGAAAAAAAAAGTAGTTATAATAATAATAATAATAAAATAATTATAAATAATTCAAAATGGCAGGAAAAAACCTCGAGGCTATGGTTTTAAAATCGTATAAAAATGTGTGTATATATCTCGATTATATTACGAGGAGCAGATGCGGTTGGTGATGGACTCGAGCGTGGAAGGAGCGCCTGCTTCCACCCGCGTTCGTGGCACTATCATGCCTGTCCATCGACGTTCGTCCAAAACCTGCATTTATATATCTGCTCTCGTTCCGGGTAGGCGTGTTACATTTTTTTTTTTTTTTTTTCGTTATTCTTCCCTCAGGCGATTTTCTACATATTCGACGTTTTTTTTTTTTTCTCGTTTTTTATTAAAAAAAAATTTTTTTCTCTCTCTCTTACAAAATAAAAGTTTTTAGAGTTGAAAATGATTATTTTCATTTCGGAAAGTTTAGCCCGGAGGTGATCAATTTTTCCCACCCCTCCCCCCCTCTCCGAGCAAGTCTTGAAATAATAATAAAAAAAAAAATTATTTACTTATTATATGTTTATGTTGAAATTTTCCGCGAGAAGGTAATAATATTCGATTTTCCATTCACTTTCGAATACAATAATGATAATAATAATAATAATAATAATAATTTACTGTGCGTCTACGGGGGGAAATGATAATTCAATTCCAATAAAAAAAAATAAAAAAAATAATAATTCCGCTTTTTATATTTACGGAAGAAACGAAACAAAACAAACGGTTAAAAAAAATTTTTCGTGGCAATAGAAAACAAATTAAATTTTTTTTTTTTTTTCCACTCGATATAAAAGAAAAACCTCGTAAAAAAAAAAATAATAAACCCGATGGATGACCCGCCCTGGCAAAAAAAATTGCATAGAATCGAGTAGAAATCAAACATCGAAATCAGGGTACTTTCATGTGAAATAATAATAATAATAGTTATAATGTTACTTTTATTATTATTATTATTTTTTTCGGTTATATCGATTTCGGACCGAGCTAAACCCCATAATTTCTAGAAATTTCTTCCATACGTAACGTTGATAAATAAATAAAATAAAATAAAATAATTTTTTTTTTTTTTTTAACGTCGTTCGAATCCCCCCGTTTAATTTCTTTTTTTTTTTTTTCAAACAAAGGATAATTAAAGTTTCCTTTGGGTAATTAATTCTCGGGTATTTTTTCGACGAATTGAAATTTTTATTATTTCCTTTTCTCCCCTTCCCTCACCTCTCCCTTCCGCACAATTCTTAACATTAAAAGTTTTCACATTAGATTTTTTTTTTTTTATCACGGCTTGAAAACAACCGCAAGAAAATGCAAAAAATGAATTAAACACCCTTCCCCCCCCACGTATCATTCCAGTCGTTTCTTTCCAGTTAAATTTCTTTATCGTCGACCAGATGGTCGAGAGCAACGGTTTTATTCATATTATTATTATTATTATTATTATTACTAATTTAAAAAAATATCCGTGTTATATTGCTTTCCGTGAATGAGACCGACCGTAATACGACGGACCACGTGTTGAATCGTAACCGTTTAAACCTATAATTAATTACATACGTAATCTATAGCATATCCGAACGTCACAACCGCAAAAAGTAAAAAGAAGAACGTGGAAAGAGTGTACGTTCGTACGTGCTTATATCGCGTCATCATACTTAAACTCTACTCCAAGACAAGAAAAAAGAAAAAAACAAGAAAACTTATTCGAACGTTGCCTTTTGTTGCGGAATATAAAAAAAAAGGGGAGCTCGAGGCAAAAAGAGAGAAGAGAGAGAGAGAAAACAAAAAAAAACTAATCAAATCCGTTAGTTTTCTCTCTCTTTCTCTCTCGCGTAATAAATATTACATATAAATATGAACTTACGGAATTGACATCCTTAGTTATTATTTCCAAAGGTGCTCGAATGCTAGGCTTACCAAGGTACCAGTCTTGTTGCGAATTGTAATTCCTAAGTATAGTGACTAACCTCGGAACGTTTACATAATTGTCATCGTCGAAATGACAAAACCACCTGACAAAAAGAAAAAAAAATTATTATTATTATTATTATTGTTATTGTTATTGTTTTCCCCGTGTAACACGCACAAACCGCAATTTAACTTTATCGTTGAAAAGAAAAAAAAAAAAAAATTTTTTTTTACACGAATTGTAAATAAATAAACGAAATATCAGCACACAGGACAAAGCACAAAGCACAAAGGGGGAGGGCGTTTCTCTCTCTCTCTTTCTCTTTCTCTCTCTCACTCACTCACTTTTCCCCTTCGGAATTGACCTCATAATTTTTAGCACACGAATGAAACCACGAAACGAGTTGTTTTAAATCCGGTTTTGTTGTTGTTTTTATTTTAAATATTTAAAATCAGATATACCACCGATAATATATATCGGGGGGGAGAGGGAAATGGGGAGGGAGGTTTGATTAATTAACCTGACAACGCGAACGAACGTCCATTCACATTTTGATTCCTACCAAGTCTCTATATTACCTTTTATACTTTAAAAAAAATATACAACCGACAGAAAAATAACAACAACAACAACAACAAAACGGTATTTTTATTTGTTTATTTATTTATTTTTTCGTCAAGAGTTTTTTTTTTTTTTTTTTTGTTAATAAAAGACATTAATAAAAGTTAGCGACGAATTTAATTTAAAAAAAAAAAAAAAGGAAGTCAAAGAGAGGAGGAGGAACAACAAAGACTCCTCGTCGTCGTCGTCGTCAATTATTTAATACTCTCGTAAATTCATTCACTAAAGAGAATTTGATTGTGGCAAAGCGAGGGAGGGGGAAGGAAGAAGGTGGAGGGAAGGAAAACTACGGGAGAACGTTATGAAAAGGAAAGGAAAGAGAGAAAAAAATATGTGGGGTGGAGTAAAGGGGGAGGGAAATGCTTCCATTTGGTGGCTCGAGACCCCGAGGGCCACTTTAAAAGTGTTAATTGAAGAATTTTTAAGGTTGCCTAAACGTTGAGGAACATGAACCGATTCATCATCATTTTTTCTTCTTCTTCTTCTTTTTCTCGATTTACGAACGTACGTGCGTATACATATTTATATTTGTGATGAGAGGAGAAACGATTGAATATTCCTTTTCGTTCCCCTCTTTTCCCCTCTCTATACGTTTCGAGAAGGTTCCGAAAAGTTTCCGACGGGGGGGTTATTTCCTAAATTTAAATTCGATTCCTTTTCTTTTTTTTTCTCATCCTTTTTTTTTCTTCTTCTTCTACTCCATTCGATTTCAATTTATTTTATAATTTCTCGTACTTTTCTTTCCCACAAACCTCCTCCCCTTTTCTCTCTCTCTCTCTAACGGAAAAAAAATCGACAATTTATTATTATCCATTTCTTTTTTTTCTTTTTTTTACTCCTTTGATAATTTTAATTTTAATCACGAATATTTTTTTTAAAACCACTTCCTTTTCAATATATATTTTACGTTTCTTTCTTTCCTTTTTTTTCCTTTTTTTTCCTTTTTTTCCTTTTTTGTTTCGCGATAAAACTAAAAATGCAAACATATAAAAAAACCCATTCTTTTTCTTTTTTTAATTAATAATTAACTCAAGTGGCAATTTAATGAGAATATACGAAAAGTGTTTTTGCTCTGAAACAAAAAGAACAAGTTGAATCGTTTCCTCCTCCTTTCCCTCTCCTCCCACGATCGTCTCCTCGCGTTGTTTCGTTTTTTTTTTTTTTTTCTTTTAAATTCGATGATAGTAGGTGGTGGGAAAGGCGTCATTTTATAAAACAACCCAATTATTATTATTATTATTATTATTATTATTATTATTATTATTATCGTTATTATTCCTTCTTTCTCCGTTGCCAGTCATCATCACGCTGTCAACTTCCCATAAAGGAAATTTTTTTTTTCTCCTTCTTCCTCCTTCTTCTCCACCTTCTTCTTCTCCTTCTTTTTAACTTCTATTGTTAGACTTTATATGTGATTAATAATAATAATAATAATAAAATTTCCTCCTGGAGTTTCTCTCTCTCTCGTAAAAATTCCTGACACGGAGTAAAAAAAAAAATTATTATTATTTCTATTTTTATTTTTTTTAATGATGGCCGACTCCAACTTGATGAATCTTCGCAACCAATTTTTTATTAATTACAATTTTTTTTTTAATTTTTATATAAAAATATACGTTTAATTAGTTTTTTTTTTCGGGGGAGGAGGAGGACGGGAGGGGAGGGAAAGGGGTTTTTTAATTTTATTTTGTCTTTTTATTACCACCGACCGCAAATTGATGGTAACCATTTTTTTTAATTTAACCCTTTTTTCTGTCTTTCTTTATTTTTAAGGTAAAAATAAATGAAAATTATTATTATTATTATTATTATTATTTATAGCGCATGCGCCAACCAAAGTCGTATGCTTTTTTTTTTTTCAAATTTTCCGTTTTTAGTGAGTGATAATTTATTTTTTTTTTTTTTGTTCGATTCAAAATTCGATCATCATTAGTTTGCATGATGGTGATATCAACAAAAGGTGGTTGATTGGTTGTTTGGTTGGTTGTTTGATGACTTTGAATATTCGGTTTAGGAATAATAACAATAATAATAATAATAATAATAATAATAATACTAATACTAATAATAGTTATTGTAATTCTATTTAAATGACTTCGCATAATCCAAACAAAAAAAAAAAAAGAAAAAAAAATTTTTTTTTCTCTCTCTCTCTCTCTCTTTAATTTTCTTTACGGTCCTTCATTATCATTATCATCATCATCATCATTATCATTATTGTTATTAAAGTTTTTCCTTTTGTTTAGCTATCAAATCGAAAACTTTCAACAATTTCGTATAAGTTTATTCATCGTTCAAAATTGGCACCCGACACAATCGTTAAAATTTATTTATTTTTTTTGTACGGCTTTTCGGGGGGAGGGGAGTGGAGGGGGAAATGGGGGGGGTTTCTAAAAATAGATTTGAAAAAAAAAACTAAACGAAACACTAACGAAAACCTTTTTTTTATAAATAAAATGAACCTCGTCAAACTCTCTCTCTTTCTTTCTCTATTTAAAAAAATTGATGATCGTTTCACAAACATCATCAGGTAGAGACGATAATAATAATAATAATTTTTCAAAAAAAAAAAAAAAAAAAAAAAAAAACGTACTAGGTTAAAAAAAAAGGCAGTAAAAAAAAAAAAAAAATAATAATAATAACTTTAAGAATTTTTACAAAATTAGTTTACGACTAATTACGACTAACCTTAAACAGGTGTTACAGAATAATTAAACGAAACAAATACAAATATATTATATATACTAAACCGCTTCAAAGAAATAAAATCTGCGCGGAAAACAAAAAAAAAAAAACTATAAAATTTAAAGGCGTTTAAAAATGATTTTACTACTACCACTAATAATAATAATAATAAAAAAAGAGTGTAAAAAATTAAAAAATAAAGAAAAGATACAGCGAGATGATGAATAGAAGAGAGAGAGAGAGAGAGAGAGAGAGAGAGAGAGATTAAAGGCAACCGAAAAATAATTATATGAAAATTAAACCGACCGCCGGTCGTCAAAATCAAAGTTGGTAAAATAAATGAACACAAATAAATATGGAAGCATCTGGGTTTTCGAACCAAAAAAAAAAACAGGGAACAGGTGGAGAAGAGGAGTAAAAAGGGAAGAGAAAAAAAAGGAATTAAGGAAGAGAGAGAGAGAAAAGGAAAGAAATTTGAACGAGGAAAAAAAAAAAAATGCCGAAAAGAAATAATTTGAAAGCGCCACAATTTTAAAATGTAGTTAAGGAATAATAATAATAATAAAAAGATGAAATACGAACCGGTGGGGGAAATAAGGGGGTGGGGGCAAGGGGTGAAGGGAAAAGAATAAGAAAAGAAAAAATATTTTTTTCCCCCTCCTTTTTGAACAAGTCAAAGAAGCCTGACTTTGGATGACTTTACATTGCAACAATTTTTTTCTTCAAATGAGTGAGCTCATTAATTCAAAGACACGCTTGGGCACAGACGTTTTAGTTATGGGAACCAACCCAAAAAAAAAAAAAAAAATACCAGAAATTAACGACAGACAGTGAGAAGAAGAGAGAGAAAGAGAGAGAGAGAAACTTGCACGCACTCACGCACGCATGCACTCAATTCAAGAAGCCGTAAAAAATATTCAATTTTTTTTTTCTTTTTTTTTTTTACACTCCAAAACTAACTCGAGGCAAAAAAAAATTTTTTTTTTTTTTTCGGGAGGGGGGGGGTCTCAGGCAACCTTTCACTTCCTTTTTCAAAATGAAAACAATAAAATTTAATTAGCGCATTACATTAAAAGCAAGAAAAAAAAGGAGGGAAAGAGGGAATAGAAATTCCGATGACTCCGTTCGATCGTAACTCAACCCCCCCCCCTACCGCCTTTAAGGCATCGTCTATCGATTGATCGATCGATCGATCGATCCTTAAATTTTTCCGCTGTGAATGATTGTGAACAACCTCTCGAGAAAATGCCACACATTTCCCTTCCTTGCCTTTCAAATTGAATTTGCCTTCCACGAGTCACTCAAAAAATTTAACTCGCGACGTAAGTGTTCGCATGACAACAACAACAACAACAAACAACGACAAACAAACAACAACAAGTTTAACACACACAAAAAAAATAAATAAATTTAAAATTTTATGTTTACATTACTCATTGGAATTGCTATTTCACGGAGAACCCCACCAATTGACTTTTTTTTTTTTTTTACCTAATATACAAATCCAAAAAAAAAAAAAAAATGACATCGTCATCGTCATTAGAATCGTAAATAAATAAATCATTTTTTGATTGTCCTTTAATTAACTTTTTTTTTTCTTTTTCTGAGGGCCTTTTGACCCCCCAAAATCCAAATCGTACTTTGTCATTCTATAATTATGTAGGAAACAATCGTTATTTTATTATTTTAAAAACAAAATTACTTACAAAAACAACCCAAACGCGTTCCTTCTTCGTGATTTAGAACGTGAAAAACACGCGACCGCGTGACGTTTATCTTTTTTTCTCTTTCTCTAAA